AAAACAAGCTGAAGGTGATCTATAGGAAATACTCTAATCCCGAGAGAGGCGCCGTTGCCCTGCTCCTGGCGGCCAAAAGTCTATTGGCTGCTGCTACATCATGACTAACAACAACATCAAGCAATTACTGTGTCTTGGATTTTGCTTCTGATAACAGTTGTGGAGCAATTTTTTTTTTTAATTTTTTTTCTTCAATTTTAAATTTGTAGTATTTTTGCTAAAAACTTGAGTACTAATTCAATTCATTTTATTCAATGGGGTGTGTATGTTTTTACTAGAGTATTTTTATGTGCTTTGCAAAATTGGTGGAATTTTGTGTTTAGAAATTGAAAGAAAATTCTAAATAAAAAAATAGGTTGCTTTCTATTAATTTTTTCAAAAAACACAAAAATAAACAATATACTCAACGAATCTTATAATATGCACGGTTTAGGCCCAGAAATCTAATCCCCTCCCCACCCTGTAGACACCCCATTTTTGACCGACCTTAAGACTCAGACGTCACCGATTGAGCGCTAGGTGATGTTGCATAATTTGCTCATTCAGAAGTTTCAGAGTCGCGGCTGCGAGCCCCACCACCAGACTTCCGAACCCTTTTCTGTGCCTTGTCTCGGTTTGCGAACCAGACTCGGTTTTCTCTGTTTCTTTTCCTGAGGGAAGGGAGAGGTCCCTATTTCCTATTTTGTCGAGAAAAATTAAAATTAGTTTGTCATAACACTCAAAATCAAAATTTGTTTGAACAAAGAGGCCACAAACTTAATTTTTTAAAAAGTTAATAGAAAAAAAAATCAAAATTTTACTTTGTTGTACTATATTTGTTGTATTATATAATTTCTTGAGATGTATATTATATACTCCTTAATTACAATTTTTGTAATCTTTGATTATAATTTATTAGGATGTTAGTTATGAGTTTATTATATATATATATATATATATATTTTGATTTTAATTATAATATTATTTTAATTATAATCTAATTTTTTTTTAATTATACCTTATATAATATATTTTTTTTTAAAATTAAGATTGTTACGAGTGCCACAACATTACCCTTGTTGCGCCACATTTATTATTATAATGTAATAATATAATATATGGAGTTGTACAGCATTAGAGGTCCTGCAGGATGAATTAGGATCCTCTCTTAGGTTTTCTTATTGTCTCCTTACTTACAACGGTGGAGATACATTTTGAGTTGATTCAACAAATTCAAATTTATTTTTCCTGCCTAAATCTAGACTGTTGGATCAACTCAAAGCATATCTCTACCGTTATAAGTAGAGAGACAAGAAGAGAGCTCAAGGAAATGATCTCAACTCCTGGAGGATTATATAGGAACAGTTTCTTAGGAAACATCTTCAAAAATCAGAACAAAACGAACCCACACAATCCGAAACACTACATGTGCCTTATAATTATAAAAAAAATAAAAAAATTATATAATTTTAATTTTTTGAGTTCTAACTAAATTAAACATGAAACATAATTAAAAAATTCATGAGTCATAACTAAAATAAAAAAAAACATATATAACTAAAAATATATATAATATATAGAAGGGTATATATTAAAATTTCTCCCCACAAACACACACCTCTTGTGCTTGAAAATGACCTCATCATCCTCCACCAATAAAACCACTTTCCAAAGTCTGACGACAATGGAACAATACAACATGAATTCTTGCATTTTTTGGTAATTTTTTATTTGAATTTTTTATTTTTTGAGTCAATAAACACCAAACTGGATTCCAACTTCTTTGCCAAACTTGTTTGTGTGGAGGATATGTGCTTTTGGACCACTTGAGGACGAAACTTATGTATATGGTCTAAAATTGTCCTCCATACATAATGTTCACTGCCAAAATAAGGTTTCGTTTAGAAATAAATTATTTTAATTTTTATAAAAAGATATATAAAAAAAAGTAAAGAGAGTGATATGACAATGTGTAATGAATTTTTAATTTTTTGATTAAAATACTTACTCCTCAAACGAGGCTTTAGTTTGGACGAGGAATTACAATTAGTTCCTTGATTTTGACCAGCATTGTTTAGATAGAGAAAACAATAAATGATGAGAGATAGAAGATAGAAACGAATGTGCAAACCACTTAGCTTATTTATCCGTTTGGATATAAATTAAACCAAACAATTCATTTCATCATGTCCTGTTATGCCAACGTAAATGACAAAGCTATGACTCAAATGATTCAAAAAGAAATTTTGTGATGACATCACGACTTTTGTTTCCATTAAATTGAAAATTATGTTGCATTGAGATGGTTTGGGCGTCTGAATGTGTGGTTGAATTTGGATTATTATTTTCGATTTATGTTGATGTGGTGTGACTTGATTAAAGGAATTGTTTGATCCAATCTAGATTCAAACTATAGATAAGTCAAATCCAAGGTGGCGGATGAATTGTAAGGATTTTAATTTAAAAAGAACAAGAAAAGAAAAGGAAAGAAAGTGTATAAAAATTTTGGGTATATTTTGAAAAAATGTTTACCAAATATATATATATATATATATTTATGTTGTCTAATTTTTTGAACTAATAAATGTTTTTACCACTAAAAGTTATAATTACATATTGTCTTTCACCACTATACATTTCTTTTCTGAGTCCAGATCGTTTACCGTGTTTTCCTACAGTTCTTCTTGCGGCTGTCCAAAACGACGTCGTTTTGGATTTTTTTTTCTTCCCTTCTTCTCTCGTCGTCTTTTTCTTTGCAGCCTCTCTTTCGTTTTTGAACCTAACCCCTCTCAGAGAGACGAACAGAGGCCACAAACGGAATCACCTCCTCTTTTCGGGTTGATGAAAGTATTCATCTAATTCATCATCTACTACACTGTCTTCTTAATCGAACAAGTGGAAGAACGGTTGGTCCGTTCTTTTCCCCCATTAACATCTTCAAAGTTAACCATGGACCTTGAATCTGATACACAGACAAACAAAACAATATTTAGACCATTTTGCAACCAAAACTATACATGTTAAAAAGTTAATAACCATTTTTTGACATGCTTATAGAATCTGAGGACTTTTTGAAACATTGAGTTTTGTATAAATCTAATAATATATACATATATAAAATATAAAATATTTATAAAAAAAAAACAGAACCAAAAATCACAACATCACAAATTGCTCAGAATCAGAAATCACAAAATCACAAATTGCTTAGATCAACCAAAAAATTATTGAATTTAGATGTGAACTTTGACTAAAACAATCCTTCAATTTTCCCAGAACACAAACACACACAAAGTTAAATCATAATTTCTTTATGAAAATAAAGAATAAAAAATAGGGAAATGAATTGATTTTGCTTGTTAGATATGAATTAAGAAAACCCCCAAAGAAAATTCAGGTGTAAATAATGAATCAACAAGCAGAGCAAACAATCAAAAGTACCATATAAAGAAATCAAACCCAAAAAAAAAAGAAAAAAAAAAAGAAAAGAAAAAAACAAGACCAACAACACCAACTGTACCTCACCAGACCATCAACAAAACAAGAAGAGAGAGATGGGTTGATTGATTACAGATAGGAGGATTTTGCAACTGTAAGGATTTGAGGGCAGCCGTGAAGGCAGATGAGAGAGAGAGAGAGATGTGTTTTGTATGTGAAATGAAGAAAACTTCAACGGAGAGGATATGGATAACGGGAAAAAAAATACACTAAACAAAACGACGTCGTTTTGGTGAGCACCGCAGGAAGCGACGCAGGAAAGCACGACAGACGATCTGGACTCTTCTTTTCTATGTAAAAGTCGTAATCCTTTGTTCCTACTCTATTATTTCGTGCCCTCTTGTCCCTTGATTTTTGGTAGGATGCTAATGAGAGGAGACAAAAGGACTCGTTTGGGAACATATTAACTTAGTAATTTTTTGACTATTTGGTTAAAATATGAGCTAAAAAAAATTAATATGTTTGGGATGATTTTTTGACTTTTTACGAAAAGATGTGCAAAAAGTAGAGAAAAAAGAGAATTTTTGACTTTTTGGTATGAGTTGTTGGCTTTTTGACTTTTTTAATAACTTTTTAACTTTTTGACTAAACCGGCTTTCCCAAACGAGGCCTAAGTATGAGATAAACATACATTATTGGCATTTCATTAATTGTTTTTACCATAATCCAAAGAATTGAATTATTAAGAATACAAATCAAACTTGATTATTTTTTATTTTTTGATTACTCAGCATCTAACTCATTAAATCAACTAATTCGAAAGACCAATCTCACTGTTTTGGATGACTTTAGTTGATGCATAATGAAATAAGGGTCTAGTTATTAATTTATTGAACTAGTTCTCTAAACGCATCAGGTAATATTAACAAATAATAGGGATGGTGATGGAGCGGGTTTGGGGTGGGTTTGGATTCTCCACCACTGTCCCGTATGACATGGAGGGTGAAGCAAATCGGGTTGGTGGCAGGGTCGGGGATTGGATTAGTTTTATAACTTAAAAAATAAAAAAAATACTAATAAAAATTATAAATTATATAATATATGATGAATAGTGATTTATAATTAAAGAAAATTACAAGAGGTAAGATATGAAAGAAATGAGTGAAAATAAATATTAAGTATAATATTTATCATATTAAAAAGACTAAATAATATATATTATATAATACATATAAATATATTTAATAAATATCAATAGAACGAGAAAAGTAAAACCTATCTCCGCTCCACTTGTCTAATTGGGGTGGGGAAAATCTGTGGAGAGGTTAAATGGGAGAAAATGGCCATCCCTAAAGTACGTTATTAACAAAATTCATTCTTTATTTATTTATAGCCTATTATTTTTTGGCACTTTAAATGGTGTAAAAAAAAGTGCTTGTAAAATTGTATTGGGCAGACGCAGGTTTGGTTTGGGCCCAAGTACGATTTTGTTAACGATCAAGGCCCAAATACGATTGTTTAGCCCCAAAAAAGCAATTAGCACTAGATGGGTTGCCTAGTTGTCTTTTTCATGTCCTTTGTAAACTGCCACGTCACTGGATTTCGTTTTCAGGAATGCTGAAACAGTCAGTTGAAGGTTGAGAGAGATGCGCTGGTTCCCAAATAAACTCCTTCAGAGTCTCTCTCTCTCTCATTCGAATAATTCTTCTCTTCTGGAGCTCATTTCATTTGCATTATAACGATTCTGCAGAAACCCTAGAGAGAGAGAGAGAAGTAGATGGGGAACTGGTTCACGACGAACAAAGAACCTCCACCACCAATGGTGTTGGTTCCACCTCTCTTTGATTTCCCTCCTCTCGCTGCCCGTACCAGGTTTTGCTTTCAATTTCAACCCTTCCCTCCGATTTTACATACTTGTGTTGTGTATTATATGTGTTTTCAGCCCAATTTCTTGTTCTATCAGCGAGGCGTTATTGTTCCTTTACTTTTTTCTTTCTTTCTTTCTTTCTTTCTTTCTTTTTTTTTTTTTTTAACATATATTTTTTTTTTTTTTTTTTTTAACATGTATATTTTTCTTTACAAGAAAAGATTCGTATGGGTAAAAAGAAAAGGATTTTTATGGGCTATGGATTGGTTCATGATTGAGTATCGTCTTTTTGTTATGTATTAATTTTGAATTTATATATAACTTTGTGAAATTGATATTTTCCATTTAAAATAATGGTTCCCCTGGTTTCACTTAACCCGATTTTGACTCATAATGTTAGATTTTGTGTCTATTTAGTCCAATTAATAACATTGATTAGGATTTTTGAAGAAAAATAGTCATTGAGTTAGTTACGGTTAAGTGAAAGACAATGCAACTTATAACTAAAAAAGAAAATGACATAAATTCATCTGAGTCATAACTTAAAAAAAAGAATGTGAAAAAGTCATGCCCAAACACCACATGAGGGATAATTAAAGATCTCATGAGTCATAATTAAAGAAGAAAATAACATAATTAGGAGTGTGTATGGTACACCCCTTTCAAGGAGTGTGTATAGTAGCATTTCCCTACGGTTAATTCATTAATGGGATAGTTTGGGATGATCTAAATAAGTGTACTTTTTATGGTTCCCCTGGTTTCACTTAACCCGATTTTGACTCATAATGTTAGATTTTGTGTCTATTTAGTCCAATTAATAACATTGATTAGGATTTTTGAAGAAAAATAGTCATTGAGTTAGTTACGGTTAAGTGAAAGACAATGCAACTTATATCTAAAAAAGAAAATGACATAAATTCATCTGAGTCATAACTTAAAAAAAAGAATATGAAAAAGTCATGCCCAAACACCACATGAGGCATAATTAAAGATCTCAGGAGTCATAATTAAAAACAAAAATTGGTCATAATTAAAGAAGAAAATAACATAATTAGGAGTGTGTATAGTAGCATTTCCCTACGGTTAATTCATTAACAAGTTTACAAATTTGCCTGTAAAACCATACCACTGTGCATTTTCCATAAAAAAAATACTAAAAGTTGTAATCAATTGGATAAAATTGAAACAAAATCATAACTGCAAGTCAAAATTGAGCTAATTGAAATTACAAGAACTAAAATGAACAAGGGCCAAAATATAGAGATTACCTGTGTAATTTTCCCTAAAACCATTTGTAACATTCAAATATATAGAACTCTCAAGTAATATGAAATGAAAAAGAAAATTGTCAATTAAATACATATAATAATAAAAGCAGATATATTTTCTTATATTTGTTTGCGAATTAAATAAGTAGTCAAGCTATGTCCATGTTCTAATTAGTGGTGTGTTGATTTTGTAAGAAGAAGAATGAGAAAAATTAATGGGTATATGTACATATATAATTTTATTAGAGGGAAAAAATTGAAATCATTTTCGAAACCTTTAACTTAGGCATCTGAAAACCTTTAATGTTGAGTGTAAAATGATTTGGCTTTCCAAAATAAATTAGGCATTTTAATGGATGCAGCATGACATTTATGGCCTATGGTTTTATTATTTTGCTTATTGTATTTAATGATTCCCTGTTGTTTATGTAATCTGAATATGTTTGCTTCTCTAAATTTATTACTGTTTTGTAGTATAGAGAGATGCTTAGGAGTTGATTTACCTGACTTATTGTGAGGTGATGCAGGATGTTGGAGTCATCATATAACTTGTTATTTGGGAAGCTTTCTTTGAGATGCCTCTTTGAGGATTATTTTGAAGAAGCTAGGCGTTTTAGCACAAGAATCATGCTAAAGCCCATTGATGACCCTCATGTTGATTTAATTGCAACTGTATCCATCTAAATTATAGTCATTTCTGTAAAGCTATCAGCTCACATATTTCTTGCCTTTCATTTATTTTTTTTTCTTTGTAATTCTATCATTTATCGAGTTTCACATTTTTACTTCTTTAAAAATTTATCAAGTACAGACAGACTGTTTTAAGACATGTATGTGTGGATAGACTGCTTCACAGTCTTACATTGTCAAACCGTGCAGGTAGATCATCCTGTTGCTTCTTCTGAAGATGGATTAATTTTGTTTAAGCTTGTTCTCCTCATTGTCAGTAAATCGATTATGAAGATAACGTGTTGTTTTTAATAATAATAATAATAAAAAAAAACCCTTAGAACTTCGATATATGGATGCAGTGTTTTCTTTCCATAGAACAAAATTGTAATTCTTGTTTTTTAAACTGCAAGGCAAAATATAATATACATTGCATAACACACATCTTAAACATGATTTTTCTTTATTTTTTTTTGAATCTTCTATCAGATTTTAGTTCAATAGTAAATGGACAGTAGTATCAAGGAGAAATCTAGAGGTCATAATCTGATGCGATGGCAAGTGCTATATGCCCCCAGCCTTGTGGTGCAGTTTTTGTCATGGGAAATATCCTCTCCACACAAAAAAGTATGGGGAGGATTGTCACTGTTGTAAGTGGGAGTCTTGTGCACTAGATACAACCTTTTTTTTTAATCAAGGAGAAATCTGTTTTTTCCTTTAGCCTGTTCAGGTTTCAGGTCCACTTGATCACAAGCCCGAGGAGAAAATTGTAGGAAATGCACAATTCCGCTGGCAAAGGTAGTGTAGTCTTTGTATTGTGCATCAACTTGCTTTGTTGTGTGTAATTTAGTCAAGACAATGATGTTATTAAATAATCATCAAGTGACATTCTCACATTTTCTCACAGTGATGTTGATGATCCTCATACATTTATGGACCTTTTTGTATCAAATACTGATCCGTAAGGGCCATTTTCTTGATACAATTTTTTTGAATTCTGCAACCATTTATCACGATTATCTAATCTTTGCCTATGTGCTATCACTGTAGGGTTTTACTTATGAGGTCATGTGCTTACTTTCCTAAATATGGTTTTGGAGCATTTGGATTTTTCCCGGTGCTTTTAAAGAAAAGGCATGTTCCTATCTGTCAAACTATCTTAGGGATTCTCAAGTTTGTTTGGAAGCAATCATACCAGTGGTGTTATATTTGAAAAGCTTACTGATTTTGCAGAGTATCTTCTGAAGATTATGGTGTTATGGGTTTGAGATATGGTTCATCGAATCTGTCATTTGGAGCCACACTACTGCCTTTCTCTAGTATGTGAGCTGCATTCCAAGTTACTGAGTAATTTTTTTTTTTTTGTGTGTGTGTGTGGTGCATATTTTCACATAAGTTATGCAGTTCCTTATATTTTAGTTATGCTGCCAACAATGTTCTTTGGTGGCTTGTGAACTTGATTAATCAATTTGTTTCTTTACTTCTCTATCATAACATGGGTATGCAATTATTTCTTTTTTCCATTTATTTGGAATGCAATAGTGTGCACATTTTATTTAATCATTGTATAGCTAAACAATGTTGTCATATGTTTGTCTATGTTTAAACATTGGGAATAGTAACTGTTCGACTTACTATATTTCTTTCAGAGAACTTTTGGAATTTTGATTTATCATTTTCATAAGTTGTAATCCAATATATATTATATAGATAAGTCTAATATTGTTTTGTTCTATGTAGTGGACGGTGAATTCCCAAAAAGTGCATGGCTGGTAAGCAAGATGGGAAGGCTGACTGCTGGGGTGCAATATGAACCACAATGTAAGATTGTCGCATCTCATTTCCCAAAAAGTTTTTTCTGTCATTAATTGGTATTCCATTTTCTTTGGTTGGTTGAGAGGACTTTTCTGTAGGTTTAGAGAAAAGAAAGAGTTGGGGAATGAGTTAGACTTCATTCCCTTTTATATTGATAATTCTGAGGAATTATAGACCTAATTCTGAGCAACCAAAAAAGGAATAAATAAGATAAATAAGCATACAATTATTATTTCCTATTTTAACATTCCCCCTCAAGCTGGTGCGAAGATATCTCTTATGCCAAGCTTATTGAGAATGCCATGAAAGGATTTGCTCCCGAGTCTTTTGGTGAGAACATCAGCTAGTTGGTCCCCAGTCCTCACAAATAGAATACATATGGTGCCACTAGTGAGTTTTTCCTTGATGAAGTGCCTATCAATCTCCACATGTTTAGTTCTATCATGTTGAACTGGATTATGAGCTATGTTGATTGTGGCCTTGTTGTCACAGTATAGTCGCATGGAGTCAGTCTGATGAATTCCCAAGTCTCCCAACAATAGTTTAATCCATAGTAACTCACATAACCCCTGAGCCATAGCCTTGAATTCTGCCTCAGCACTAGATCGAGCAACCACATTCTGTTTTTTACTTCGCCATGTGACTAGGTTGCCACCAACAAATGTGTAGTATCCAGAAGTTGATCGTCTGTCAGTGACTGATCTTGCCCAATCTGCATCAGTAAATGCTTCCACATTGAGATGGCCATGTTTGGAGCAGTTTAGACCCTTTCCAGGAGAAGACTTCAGGTATCGCAGGATTCTCATAACTGCCTCTAAGTGGGAAGTTCTAAGAGCATACATAAACTGGCTCACCATGCTCATGGCAATGGCAATGGCAATGGCAATGGCAATGGCAATGGCAATGTCTGGACGGGAGTGAGATAAGTATATGAACTTGCCCACTAGTCTCTGGTATCTCCCCCTGTCCACCCACTCTCCCTCTTGATCCTTACTAAGCTTCTGGCTTGGTTCTAGAGATGTATCACACGGTCTACCTTCAAGCATTCCAATTTCCTTTAGTAAGTCAAGTACATACTTCCTCTGACATATGATGATGCCATCCTTGGACCGAGCTACTTCAATGTCCAAAAAGTACTTCAAATAGCCTAAGTCTTTGATTTCAAATTCTTTTAAACAAGGAATCATTTCCTGTCAGAACAATGTCATCAACATAGACAATAAGAGGCTGTGGTCTTACCATGTGCGGAGTGTTTCACAAACAAGGTGTGATTAGCCTGACTTTGCTTGAACCTATATTTCAGTATAACTTGAGCAAACTTTTCAAACCAAGCCCTAGGAGACTGGTTTAGCCCATAAAGTGACTTTCGGAACCTGCATACCTTACCGTTGGACTTAGCAGCTGCAAAACCAGGAGGAATATCCATATAGACCTCTTCTGCTAGATCTCCATGAAGAAAGACATTCTTCACATCAAACTGATAAAATGGCCAACCCAAATTTGCAGCAAGAGAGAGTAAAATTCTCACAGAATTCATCTTAGCAACCGGTGCAAATGTCTCTTGGTAATCTACCCCATAAGTTTGAGTGAAGCCCTTAGCAACCAATCTTACATTGTATCGTTCTATGGAATCATCTGTTTTGTGTTTTACCGTGTATACCCACGTACACCCAACTGGATTTTTGCCTCTAGGTAACTCCACTAACTCCCAAGTGTCACTCTTGCTGAGAGCTCTCATTTCTTCCATCATGGCATGTTTCCATTCAGGAATAGAGAGAGCATCCTGAAAATTGGTCACAGAAGACACTTTAGACAGAAAAGTTTTATATGAGAAGGATAGATGAGAATAAGAGACATGATTATTTAAGCTTGTTTGGTTCCAGTTTTCAGAAAACAGTTTTCAGAAAATTCTAATTTTTATTTTTCGTATTTTAATGTTTTCAATGAATGTTTTTAATATTTTAAGCATTTTTTTTTAATTTTTAGACACACCTAACATAAATACATTTAAAAAGTATAATATTTGTGAAAAAAATCTTTTAAAAAATACACTAAATACCAAAAAATACAAAAAAAATACGAAAGTTTAGTACATTTTCGTATTTTGTGTATTTAATAATTTTTTAAAATATTTTTCACACATTTTACTATTTTAGATACATCTAAATAAGGTGCATCTAAAAAAGTAAAAAAATTACTTAAAATTTTAAAAATATTCACTAAAACAAAAAAACACGAAAAACAAAAAACTCAGTTTTCAGAAAACTGAATTCAAAAAATTGAAACCAAACATAGGATGCTGAGTACATGACCTAACCCCCTTCCTATTAGCAATGAAAACATCAAGATCTGAAAAAGCAGGAATAAAAGCACTAGAATTAGAATTACCTGGACTCTTAGTAGAGGTGGGTGACTCTGGACACTCATTCGGAGAAGAAGTTGGCAGTAGAGGAAGAAAAGTAGTCTCTTGCATCTAGGTGACTTGTTGTCTGTCCTTGTCCCTGATATAAACTTTGCCTACTTTTTCCTCAACAACTGCTGGCTTATCATCCTCTATCTGTTTAACCCTTGGTAGACGTAGAACAGAAATCTCTTCACACCAAGGCGCCCCCGGAAGGGATGATTGTAAGATCGGGGGGTTGGAAAATAAGGCTGAGACTCAAAGATAGTGACATCCATGGAGGCAAACCATTTGCGAGTGGAAGGATGATAACACTTATAACCCTTTTGGATGGCAGAATAACCCAGAAAAACATACTTAAGAGACCAGGGATCCAATTTACCACGAGTGAGTGAATGATTACGAACAAAGCAAACACAAGCAAAAGTTTTAGGAGGAATGGAGAACCCGGAAGGGGTAGATTCGAACAAAATTTGAAGATGTGTTTGTTTTTGAAGAACTTGGATAGGAAGATTAATCAAATAAGTGGCAGTGAGAACCGCTTTCCCCCAATAGGATCGAGGAACCCGCATCTCAAAGGATAGACATCAGGCGACATTAAGGAGATGATGATTTTTGCGTTTTGCAACACCATTTTGTTGAGGGGTATTAGTGCATGAAGTCTAGTGAATAATGCCATGAGTGGCGAAGTAAGTGGTAAGACCAGAGTCTGAGTACAAACCATTTTATGGAAGTTTTGAAACACTGAAAAGACCTCACTTTTATCTTTCATCAAATAGACCCAAGTGGTCCTGGAATAATCATCGATGAAGGAAACAAATCATTTTTTACTGGTCAAAGACACAAAACGGGATGGACCCCATACATCAGAATGAACTAAAGAAAATGGAACTAAACTTTTATTAATAGAAGGAGCAAAATAGGCTCTGTGTTGTTTTCCAAGTTGACAAGTCTCACATTGAAAATCTGATACATTATTGTTCTCAAAAACAAAAGGAAATAAATGCTTAAGTAATAAAAAAGAGGGATGTCCTAAGCGATGGTGCCACAGTCATATGTCTTCCTTGGTGGATGGTAACTGAATAGATGAATGAGCCAGCTTGTTCGTCTGATTCAGAATGTAGAGACCATGTTCGTCTCTACAACGGCTAATCATCTTCTTCGTGATAAGGTCCTGAAAAGGACAATGATCAGGAAAAAATGTCACGCTACAATTTAAATCACGAGTAAGACGATTCAAAGATAAAAGATTAACACTAAAATTGAAAACATGGAGGATAGAGGACAAAGGAAGGGAAAAGGTGGCATGAATTAAACCTTTCCCTGACAAAGACGAAATAATATTATCAGCAATACGTACTTTTTCCTGACCTGAGAAGAGATTATACTCTGAGAATAAGTTAGAGGAGCCAGACATATGGTCAAGTTATCTGAATTGGCAATGCGCATGGAGAGGAAGCCAAGTTATCTGAATTGGCAAAGGAAGAAGAGGGTGCACCTGTAGTAGAAGTGGAGGCTCGACGGTCTAGCAAGTGGCGAAGAGCAATCTCAAAATCCGAGGTAGATAACCCCGAAACATCAGCAGCGGTGGAGACAACTGGAGCAAAGGAGACAATTGGAGATGAAGATGGCTCAATAGTGTCTGAAAGATATGCGCGGACATTGGCTCCTCGGCCTCTAGACTGACCAAACGTACCTCCTCGAGTACCAGGACGATCGTCTCGGCCACCAGAGGGGGTTCCATGCAGCTTCCAACAAGTCTCTCAGGTGTGGCGAAGTCGACGACAGTAGTCACAGTAAAGATTATCCTTCTCAGAGAAAGGACGAGAACCACGAGTTATACGGTCGCCATCGTGAGAGGGTGCAGAAACCAAGGCTGAGCGATCAGGAGTAGCAGAAGGAAACATCGCAGAGCGGCGACTCTCATTCTGCACAAAAACAAAGGCTTCCTGGAGAAAAGGAAGCACATCCATACCAAGTACTTTGCTCCGAACTAGATCATACTTCACATTTAAGCCTTCCAAAAACTTGAAGACTCGCTCTTGTACCATAAACTTCCAATAACCAACAGCGTCAGTGGGACAGACAAGTTTGTAGTCCTAAAGGTGATCAATTCGCTTCCACCCATTATTAAGGAAGGTAAAATACTGAAGAATAGTCATCTCATCTTAGACCGATCTTTCAATGGAGCGACGTAACTCAAACGCTTAGGAGAAGTTCCCCTTCCTGGATTAAGTAGTAGTGACGGCCTTTCAAATATCCTGGGCAGTGTCCATAGATAGGTAGCCCTCGCCGATCTCCGGAACCATAGAATGGATCAACCAATCCATAATCAGAGAATTAGTGATCTCCCACTAGTCATAACGAGGGTCTGTGATACTGGGTGCCTGGATCCTCCCATCAACATATCCCATCTTCCCTCTATTTTTCAAGAAAATAGCCAGACTCTGCGACCATGCTAGGTAATTCTAACCGTTGAATAAAGTGGTGGTGATTTTAAGGCCAGGGTTGAGGTTATCAGTCATAGTGGAAGGGATAGTAGAACTCTTGCTTTGAGATGGCTGAGAGGTATGAGATTCACTAGTCAAATCTGCCATGGAGACTCCATGAACTATGCCTCAAACACGATGCCAATCACAAACTCTGAAGATGGTGGAGGAACAAGCACAATAGTAACTAGAAAACCTTAAAGAATTAAGAAGCCAATTTTTTTTTTATATCATTAGATTTTATTATTATTATTTTTTTGTTTTATTTTTAATTTTTTTAATTTTTTTTCATATATATATATATATATATTTTATGTTATTTATTTATTTTTTTGTTTTAAATGCTGACCTTTTAAAGGAAGAACATTACTGACGCAGAGAGAGAGAGAGACGACAGAAGAATCAAGGAGAGACGACCAGCCGACAACGATGAGAGCCGACGACGGCAGCCCAGCAAACCAGAGGGGCTGCCGACAAGGGCTAATAAGGCCAGATGGGCTGCCGACAGGCCCCTATGAGGCCAGAGTACCTGCCGACTGATCCTTAGACAACCAGAGGGGTTGTTGACGACGTCCCAGCGGCAGTCGGAGAGTTCAGGAGGACTGCCGACAACTGAGGTAAGTGTGTCGAAGGTGTAGGTGGCTTGTAGGTTTGCTAAGTGAAGGTCGACAGTGGCTAGGCTGTTAAAACAGGACTATCGGCAGCCGAAGAGAAGAAAAGCAAATGAGAGAGGCTAGGGTTTAGGCTCTGATACCATGTAGGTTCACGGACTCTTTGGAATTTCGAAGGTACCCGTGTCGACACGACATGACATGGGTACAAATGCGGGATACGGCTCCTTAGAAACGGATACGGCAGAAGAATTGAAAGAGGAGAGAGCAAGAAGAGAACTTGGCCTTCGACTTCAATCTAACTTGGTTGCAGAGCATCGATTGATTTGTGAAGTTGATCGATCTTCAAAGCTTGATCTGCGAAGTTGATCGATTTGCGAAGTCGATCTACTGTGCTCCTTCGTCTTCCCCTTTGGTCTCGATCTCCATCTCTGTTCTTCTCGTCTCTTCGTTACACTCTCTCTCTCTCTGTCTCTTTTTTCTTTTTTGATCAGTCTCTATCCGTCTCTTCTTTTTAATATAATTTGAATTATATAATATAAACTATATTAATATAATATTATTCATATTATATAATATTATTTATTCAAAAAAATATTATATAATATAACATATCATAAATAACATAACTTTTATGTCTAAAATTAAAATAATTTATTTTGTCATATATAATATAATTTATTTTATGTCTAAAATAATGTTTATAATTTTTATTTATTATTTATTTGTTATTTTTTTTAATAAAATTTGTTATTCCTTAAACTTTTTAAACTCATCTTCATATAATAAATATATTTAAAAATAACTATTTAACGTATCCCCGTACCCGTATCCTAATTTGGATCCATATCCACGTATCCTTAATTTTTAATTTTAAAGTGTCCGACCCTTAAATACACACCCGTACCCGATACCCGCACCCGAGTCCGTGTAACGTAGGCTGCCGACAGGCCCCTAGGAGGCTAGAGTACTTGCCGACTGACCCTTAGACAACCAGAGGGGCTGTTGACGACGTCCCAGCGGCAGTCAGAGAGTTCAGGAGGACTGCCGACAACTGAGGTAAGTGTGTCGGAGGTGTAGGTGGCCTGTAGGTGTGCTAAGTGAAGGTTGACAGTGGCTGGGCTGTTACAACAGGACTGCCGGCAGCAGAAGAGAAGAAAAGCAAAGGAGAGGGGCTAGGGTTTTGGCTCTGATACCATGTAGGTTTAGAGAAAAGAAAGAGTTAGGAAATGAGTTAGACTTCATTCCCTTTTATATTGATAATTCTGAGGAATTACAGGCCTAATTCTGAGCAACCAAAAAAAGGAATAAATAAGAAAAATAAGGATACAATTATTATTTTCTATTCTAACGATTTCCTATTCTAACATTCTCTTCTTTATAGTTTGAATTTTGCTAGAATTCTTATAGGTTTTGGTTTTCAGCTCTGAATTTCTTCTTATTATTTAACTGTCTCTTGGTGAATGATGTTTGTAGTGTTAAATACTAACAGCATGCATTATGTTCGTTTCTTTATGGGTGTGCACTTGAACTTATAATTCTGTTATAAGAAGTAACTGTTTATTAGGAGACAAATTTTTTTTTTTTTAATGTAATTTTTATTTGAATTATTAGCTATCTAGTAGGAGTAAAGTTCTTACCTCAACAAGTACTTCATTATAAATTTATTAGCTTTTGCAGTGTGCACTGTTAAAGGATCAACTACCACCAGTACATAATCCATCCTTTTTGTTTCATGTGGATGTAATGGCTTTGCGAACACTTAATCCCATGAATGACTTGTTTTCATCCAGAAAATGCTTTACCAATGTCATCTATTGATACTGGTTGATCACAGCGAACAGATCAGTTGTATTTAATTTTTAAAACTACATGTTTAACATTGTCAGTGCTTATTGCATTCCTGGGATTGTCATGTGATATTCACAAAACTGATTTTTATGTTCTCTTTGTGGATGCTGTTCTCATAGTTGGAAGCAAAGATGGAAATAGATACAAAAATTTAGCAAATTGGAGTTGTGCTATTGGCTATGGACTAGGATCAGGCAGTCCTTTGAGCCCATCCTTCAATTTTGGTCTTGAACTTGCTAAAAGTTCTCAGGTTTGTTGCATTTGAAAGCTTTTGTCTTATCAAATTTTTTTTTTTGAATATTTTTTAATTTGTTTTGGCAATATTTAGTTCAAAGCAGAACTGATGATATCCGTTTGAAAGATCAGACCGGGGTCGTTCAAAGTTTAATATAGATATAATGTTTAGAAGCTTGATTACCTGGATGATTTTAAAAAGAGAAGGAAAAAAAGAAAAAAAGAAAAAGAAAAGTTACCAAAGACTGGATCTGGTTTATTTCATTTTATTTTATTTTATTTTATTTTCAAGATGAAGACTGGATCTAGGCTATGTATATTCCATTCATGTGTGCATGATCAGGGCTGTTTAATTATTGTTTGACTTCTAGTTGTGCAATGAAGATGCCATCATACCATACTAATGGTGGGAATCCATATGGTTACAACGTAACAGATGCCATACAGTTTATGGCTAAAACATAATGAAATGTCATGCAGCTTTGAGTTCTCTGTGTAGTGATAACATTGTGTATGAGTAACCCTAGAATTTCTTGGAAACCAAGGCATTAATGCATGGAAATGTGCAATTTGTGTACTAGCGTAATCATGATTCTAATTTCATGTGCATTTTTTTACTGATATCTTGTTTATGAAACCTGCACTGCAGTTCATTGCCTCTTTCTATCAGCATGTGGTGGTCCAAAGAAGGGTACACCTCTCTCTCTCTCTCTCTCTCTCTCTCAATATTACAATGATCTTTTGGAGGAAATCTAAATCTAAATGTAAAAATCTGTTCAGAGGAGTTAAGTTCTGCAATCATATGCTTTATATGTGCAGTGGACACAGCACGTTGTGTAGGATGAGGTATCTTGTTTGCATACAATATCTTAAAATGCAACATAGGTCGTAGGTGTGCTTCCTTGGTTTGAACTATCTACAAAATATCTTTGTTGTTTCACAAATTTTATTTGTGTTGAAGTCTGATGATAAGTTTGATTCTAGTGAACTCCATCGCGAATAGAGTCTGAGGATGTTTGAATTGTAGTTATATGTTTAAGAAGTGGGTATAGGAAACAGGATGAGAAACTGAAATTGAAACATGGCTTCAAATGAATATGAAACACAAAGGAGATTATTTGATTCTATCAGAAATTTGTGCTGAGTAATTAAGTCAAACACATTTGAAGACAAATGTGCAATATACCTTGAGATTTTACTTTCAAATAGTCAACAAGCCTTAGTATTTTGAATAGGGATTGCCAGAAGAATACAATAATTTTCTATATCTTGCTTATGACTAAAATATTGCTCCCAAAAGCTGATCTCCTAATTTTTCATAAGATCTCTCTTTTTTTATTTGAGGGGAAAGGAAGAAGCTGGTTTTGTGATGGGAATAGGGTTTTCACTTTTTCTACATTTTGAGGTGGGATACTAATTATGTATAAAATATTTTATCATATGTAGTAAATAATATATTTCTTGTACAACTAATTCCCCTCCTCCTAACCCCCACCCCCGAAAAAAGAAAAAGGACCAATTGGTGTCGAGTTGTGATTTGATTCAAGAATAAGCATATGACAAACTTTAACACATCTCATACACAGGAATTGCTCATACATTAATATTGATTTTTATTGCTGAATGTCCATTGTCCAATTTCATTTGCAATACATTTTATTTTATCTAGAAATTTTGTTCAGAAGAGTATCATGGTTTTATTTGTTGATTTTCCTCCATAGTGTTTACTTGCCGCAAGTGTGTCCTCTCACGGCTTGGAAAATGTTTACTGAATCAAGCTATTTATTTGGATTTACTTAGGTGAAGAACCCACTTGAAGAAAATGAAGTAGTTGGAATTACAAACTACATTGACTTCGGATTTGAGTTACAGACCAGGTATTTCAGTGATTACTATAGAATTCAATCAACACCATTTATGATGGGATTTGAATTCAGTCTAATCTTGTGGTAAAGGATTGATGATGACAAACCATCAAACGTAACTCCAGATTCCTCTTTTCAAGTTGCTGCATCTTGGCAAGCCAATAAAAACTTCTTGTTGAAGGTACAGTTTTGATGCTATCCTCAGCTGAATCTATGGATCATACCAAGTTTCATAACTATACATGTATCATCTTATCAGGGAAAGGTGGGCCCTCTCAGCTCATCTATGGCTTTAGCATTCAAGTCATGGTGGAAACCTTCTTTCACTTTCAACATTTCAGGTATTTCTAGTTAGAATAGTTTTTTTTTCCATTTATACTGGAGTTTATTTTCATAGGATATAATAGAAGAATGTCTTTGGACATAATTAGTAATTTAACCACCTGTAGGGGCTTCTTTTTTTACCATATTTTGAGTATTTGTTGCAAGGTTAAAATCTTCTTATACACCATGATAATTCACCTATTACTCAAAATGCTTCAACCCATTATATTCTGTGTATCTAGACTCCAGTTAAAACATGTGCATGATATTTGCTGGCGTTTAATGGTATGTTGGTCAGATGGAAAGGTGGAGGGGAGGGAAGAAGGAAGGGAGAGAAACACATTCCTGTATTTGGTGGGATGGAAGGGGGAAGATGCTCTCTCTTTTTTAAAATGTGAAACGACTCTTTTTAACTCTAGCTTTTGCTTGCTATATTTTTTCAAAATAAGGGTATAATTGTTGAGATGATTTAAACAAACCATTTCCTTTCTCTTCTCCATTTAACCAAACAACTTAGGAAGGAACCACAATGCTTTCTGTAATTATCCACTTCCCTGCCCTCCCGATCCTTGCTTCCCCTCCCTCTTATGTTTTTTTCCTACCAAACATAGCTCAAAGTGTTTAGGAGGTGGATTTCGTATTAACCAGGCATACCTAGAACATGGGGGATGGATGGTAAGATTGTGTTTTTAAGTTGTATGTATCCTCTAAATGAGACAAAAATTTGGAGTTGTAGAACCAATTATTTGTGAAACATTTTAGAAGTCTAAGAAAATATTATGGGGTTTTGTGGTTTCCCTTAAAAAGGGGTCACATAATCTTATTCTCCGTGACCGTTTTGCACATATCTTCCATCTGTGCTGCTGGAAGTAGAGGAGTTGCACCCATATGAAATCATCAGAAAACTAATGATAGAATCAGCAATCCAATTTGCTTGCAATGTTGCAAACTTTCTTTTTTTGGTCTATATTTGTCCTGGATTGAGTGATTTGAAATTGTGTTTCAACGACATAATATTGCACTTCTATGATTTGAGTCTTGGTTCGCAACCTCATGAACAAAAAATGTGTGATCTCTTTGTTGATAGACAACAGATAAAACATGATCTGAGCAAATATATTAATTGGTCTACAGCTACTAGAGATCGTACGGTTGGAAAGACAGCTTTTGGATTTGGCATCCGTGTTGATAATGTTAGAGAAGCGAGGTTAGTTTAATTTTCAAAATCTTCTTTCAAACTTGGTTTTCCCATATCAATTTTTCCATTTTGATCAGATGACAAGCCTAGCATGTTGAGAATGTAGTTAACTTTGTCGGTTCACATAAGGGATTACTGGTTCTTTTGATTTCAAACCGATGCTATCATGCATTGTTCTCGAGTTCACCAGAGCTTGGATTGATTATTTAGCTACTTCTGTTGCCTACTAATGTAATTTTTCCCTTTTCCCTTTTTTTTTTTTTAACTGATTGCTTATATGATTGTTTTTTTCTACTATATAATGCAGTTATCAGAGAGCCGATCCAAATTTTGTAATGCTGACACCAAACAAGGAGCATTTAGCAGAGGGCATTCACTGGAAAATTGGGAAGAGACCTGTGCTCCAATCAGATTTAAATTCTGGGAATTTTGATGGCATGCCCAGGGAGTTGAGGCCCTTGGGAAAATTTTTGTAATTTTATAAAATTACAAATTTTTATATATATATATATATATATATATATATTTTTTTTAAGTGTAAGGGAACATTTTGATTATAACAACTAATTTTGGTTCTCTAATTTCGTAAGTTTGGGAAGAACTGTTACTTCCTCATCAATCTATCTCCAATGAAGCTGCGAAACAATGAACATTAGCTTGTTTGTTTTCCTAAGGAAAATTGAACAAGAGCTAGTTACCAAGTTTGTAGAAGGAAATTAATTCTACACAATCCAGTTCTTATCATCAGATTTAATATATGTAATGTCTGACTCTGAGAGCCTCATCTTTGCAAGGATGACCTCTAAGCATGTCCCTAGAGCTTCCAATGAAGTATCGTGGCGACATCTTTTACCTACCAAAGAAAAGAAAAAGAAAATTGCAATGTTGAAAAAAAGGTAAACAAAGCAAAAATAAATTCATACTATGGATTTATATTGCAAGGAGTTGCTGGTAATCTCCTTTAATTTTTTATTTTTGGGAAATTATTGTTCATCGTCATGAAAAGTACGACATACACTTCAGGGAGGGGGGGTTGAAGTTAGGGGGAATAACAAAGAAATGAGTGGGGCACTGATGATAGTTGATGTGCGATATCATACTGAGAGGGAGGGAGAAAGGCCGAACTCGAGCCCCCAGAGCTCAAAAGCTCCCTTAACAAAATCATAGTAACCGCCTTTCAACGACAGCGTTTTCTTCACCAAACCATCTCTCACAAACGGATAAGTTAGCAGGTTTCCAAGGGATACATTCACTGCCTCCTGCATTATTACATTTTACATAAAATCAAGGTTTAGAAACACAACAGCACTGTACCCTTAAAACCATTTATGGACATTTTTTCAAAGAAAAGTATATCACAGCTTACTTGGTTACATGTTTCAATAATCCAAATTACTCTTTTTAGTATTTTAATTATATGTTGAACAGAAATGCTATGTGTTCAAAAAAATACTGTGCGCACATTTTTTGATAATTTTTCTAAGCACGTAGCATTGTTGATAAAAAGGCATTGATAAAAAAAGATATTCAATAAAGGCATTTCAATAAAGGCAAGTCAAGTCATGGACAATGAGCTAGAAGGTCAATATTTTTTTTTTTTCCTGAGATTTTAAGAAAAATATTAAAATAAAACTTTATCTATTAGATTATTGAAAAATTGCGTTATTTCGAAATTATTATTATTATTAATTTTTGAGATTTTCTCTATAAGTCTTAGACAATAGACTAAGTGACCTAATAGTTGAATCAACACACCTTTTCACAAACGGTACATAGTTCTGGAAACGGTATGTTGCCATTCTCTGCTTTCACTTTGTTCTTAGCTGGTAAACAGACTTTGACCCAATCCTCAATGAAATCACTGCACATTTCAATTAGCAAAGAGCAAGTAATTGTGGAATCCTTGACCTCCTAGTAACGTACAAAAGTTCTTGATTAACAAGCTAGCTTGGTTGATTATGATGAAAAAAAAGTAAAATTAGGAAAGGGTATATAGATGTGGGGGACTTACGTGGAAGTGGGTCCATCATCTGGGAAAGACATAAGTCCTTTTATCCCACCACAGCAGCTATGTCCAATCACTACAATCGTCTCTACCTGTCAGGTATTTACGACTTTTTCAATTAATTTCTAACCCAAAAAAAAAAAAAAAAAAAACTCAATTGCAATTCATGATAAATGAGTATGATCCAGCTACAATCAATGCATACAAGTATGTAACATTCTTAATTAGCTATGCTGGACCATGACACTAATGAACTTGGTGTTGTTTTTACAAGATTGTAGAAAAACAAGAGTGTTTTTAAAAAAAAAATTATTGCCCTTTCAATCTTTTATGAAATTAATATTGATTATGACGATACAATAACAATAATAACTAATATGAAGATGATTGATGAATAGAAAATTTATACAAAATTTCATATTAGGATAATATGATAGTGTTCACCTTAAGATGGAGTACAGCGTACTCAACAGCGGCCCCAACTCCAGAGTATTTTGTCTGTTGCATCAAACAAACCACAATTCAAAAACAAAAATATAAAAACTAACGAAATAGATTGGATTTAACTTTTAAAAGACAACTTGACTTAAAGTATAAAGGATTGATTGTCATAATTAAAAGTTGAAAGACAAAAGTAAAACTGCAGTGAAAATGTAGGGATGCTAAGTATAATTAACTCAAAAAATAAATGGTTTATTTTCAAAATAATATTTATCATCAATTTTCTTAAGGCAAATTAATTTAGTTTTATTTATTTATTTTATATATAAAAATAATCCCTGTGATAAATCATTTGAATCACCTTTGAAGTTGGCCCACCAAGCCCAACAACCTAACTCAGTATAATCCATCTTCTAATCAATGAGTCTATATAACCAATTGGGCTAACTCACAAGGCGACTCTATACAGTTCTATGTGAAAGGTCAACGGGTCAATTTTTGTTGGTATTTTGTTGTGTTGTTTTGTTTCTTCTCTATTATGAAGCTTTTTGTTGAATTAATATATCTGTTACTGTTATTATATGATTATTCAGTTATAATTTTCTTCATATCGTAGAAATTCCTTTCAATCGGAAAAAAAATATATATTTAAAAAGAAAAAAAGAGAAAGTGAGTACCTTATCAAATGGAGGGACCATGTTGGCAACGTTTCGGACCACAAAAGCCTCACCGGGTTGAAAATCCAATACATGAGATGGGCAGACCCGGGAATCCGAGCACGCAAACACCATGAACTAACCCATATATATAACAACAGCACTATATGATCAACTACCCAGAAAACATAAAAAATAATAATAATAATAATAATAATTTTTAAATAAAAAAAAGCTAATTATTATAACTCAAATTTATTTATTTATTTTTTTTAAAAGAATATGTGTCATGTGGCATCTAAATCTAATAATCATAAGAGAATTCAATGTACTTTGGGGCTTTGGCCTTTGGCGAGTTCACCGAACAAAGCTGGACTTTTCCTGCAATAAAAGAAAATTCAAAAAAACATATCAAGTAATGAGTGTTATGTATCACCAGTGAATTTTTACTTTTTACCTCTCTTTTTTTTTTTTTTTTCTTTTTCATTTCCTGCGTTGATTCGGCACAACTACATGTATACATTATGTTTGTTGTGTGAATTAAGTATTAATATAAAATGTGAAGAAGAAGATAAAACAAAATAGTGAAATTTAACCCTTTGACATATATCATTTTCATAAATTAAATTATTACGTACTCATATTTCTCTCTCTTGAAGTGAATGAAGCCGTTTTTCATCCTCTCAACCAGGGGAGATGATGGTTTGCTTTCAACCGATGTTTGCAATTCTGCAGTTATTTGATCGATCTTTGTAGCTGCAATAGGTTCAAGCTCACTCTTCTCCCTGCATGCAGCTCGTCTCGTCAAGTAACAAAAAATTATTTAAAATTCACTTTATAATATAATATAGTTCAATTTGTTAGTTAGTATCACATTTGGGCATATATAGCTTTTGTGGAAGAACGACTCTTTTTATGATAATTTTATCTCAATTTGTATCAACTTCACTTTAAATCTTCAATTTTCATCTTTAGTACTTGGGGTAAGATATAAAAAAAAAAAAAAAAAAATATCATCTCATTTGTCATCACTATATTAATTTTACAAATTTCATCACTCATATCATATTTGTTATCAATATAATAGTAACACATCACTTAATAAATAAACTATAGTAAAACATGATTTTTATTTTTTTGTTGACAAATTTTCATGGTAAGTAGAGCTAGAGCTTTTGAAAGTCATATTATAGGCAAAGTCACCTCAGAAGTTTCTTGAGTCCAGCAATGGCCTCCTCATACGACTCGGTCCCCATATCTTCTCTCTGCCAAATTTTAAAGTTAAATTTATTCAAAATACAATAACAAAAAATTGTATATAACCAAATATATATAGATACATATAATATACACAAAGCTTTAAAATTTAATTTTTGAGAACTGCATTTTATTTTTGAATTGCATACTCTGTATAGTAGTTCTTTTCTTACTTAAAATTTGAGCAGAATTAGAAGCCATGAAATTTTAATTTCTTCGGGGTACGTAAACTGTCGATTAGTCCTTCTAGTTTTTCTCAAAATTTTAATTTAGCCATCTGACTTCTGAATTTTCTGTTTAATCTCCAAACTTTTATAATCCCAATCCATTAACAAAGGTGGGAAAATAGATCATGTGTCTCCTATAATCAAGAGAAAATGATTGTCTCAGTGAGAGAAATTTGACCACTACAATATATAAGGGTTTTAAGGATCAATTTTTTTTTGTCTTTAAAAGTAAAAATTTTGTTACAAAAAATATTTGGGAACCAATTTTTGTCATTGCAAGAGTCGTCGTTAAAAAATCATCTCGAAAAGTCAATAAAAAGAATTTTTAGCAAAAAACAAATTAAAATGTTGCTAATAAGACAAAATAATTTGGTCCAAAAAATGTTTGTTTTTTAAGACAATTTTTTTGTCAATCAAAATATTTCGTCCTTAAAAAGTGATTTTATCCTTAAAACCTTAATTTGTTATAGTGATGAAGAGAAAAGATTACTGACAATTTTGTGTGAAATTATTTATTTTTTAGATTAAATATAATTTTTTCCTTGAAAGAAAAGGATAAATCATTTTAAAAAAAAAAACTATTTATGTATTTTCCATTATGAAGCCCGTTCTTTCTTGCGTTGGCAGTAGGCTTGTAATTATCAAGTTAGATGTAATTATTTTTATATTAATTAATTTTCAATTGATACAAAAAATAAATAAACAAAAAAACTATCAGACTAGAGGTCTATTTATGAAACTGTTGGGCTAACAGGCCAAAGTTTAAATTTTTCTAAGCCAAGAAGACATTATCTATCTAAAAGAACAACTATTTGTTCAAAATCTTAATCTGTTTGTCTGTTCAAATTTGAACATATCTGTCTAACTATTTGTTTAAATATCCAACTATTTGTATACAATTATATACTAATTAATTTTACATTTTTATATAGAAATTATTAGATTAAATATAATTTTTTCCTTGAAAGAAAAGGATAAATCATTTTAAAAAAAAAAACTATTTATGTATTTTCCATTATGAAGCCCGTTCTTTCTTGCGTTGGCTGTAGGCTTGTAATTATCAAGTTAGATGTAATTATTTTTATATTAATTAATTTTCAATTGATACAAAAAATAAATAAACAAAAAAACTATCAGACTAGAGGTCTATTTATGAAACTGTTGGGCTAATAGGCCAAAGTTTAAATTTTTCTAAGCCAAGAAGACATTATCTATCTAAAAGAACAACTATTTGTTCAAAGTCTTAATCTGTTTGTCTGTTCAAATTTGAACATATCTGTCTAACTATTTGTTTAAATATCCAACTATTTGTATACAATTATATACTAATTTTACATTTTTATATAGAAATTACATACAATTATATAGAAATGTTCAAGCAATGTTAAAATGAACACAAATGTTAAAAAAAGTGTATATACAATTATATAGAAATTACTTTTTTATTTTTATAATTGTTAAAATGAATGAAAATTGGACTAGGATTAGTAGAAGAAGCTACAATGCAATTATGGCATGCATGCTAGCACATTAACAGCCAGCATTAATCCCAAATTCTCTTCATCGTACCTGCAGATTTCTAGGACCCACTCACATTATCAAAACACTAAGAGAGAGAAAGAAATCAAGAGAGGGAGAGAGAGAGAGGTACCCAAGAGGGGGTGATAATGGGTTGAGGGGCAGCAAAAACAGGCTCGTTTCTGATGAGACTAGGTGGAGAAGATGAAGATGAAGAAGAAGAAGTAAGCCTGGCAATAGCCGAAAGACGTCCTAATGTAGTATTATTAGGTCTATTCTTGATGAGAGAAGATTGAGAGAGAGAGGTGAGGCAGCAGGCGTTGATCGCAGCGGTCGACATTGCTCACCAGACTATAGAATTGAGTAGCTTTATACCCAGTTGTGTCATCAATCTCCATTTGGATAACGAAAGCGAAAGCTCAGCAAACGAGAGCTTCTTCTTCTACTTCATATGCTAGATTAGGTTTTGAGCCTTGGAGACTCGGGGGTTTTTTTTTTAAAGAATAAAATTATCATTCAGTGGTAATCTTTAAAACTGAATACACATTTATAAAAAAAAAAAATTAATCTTAATTTTTAATATTTATAAAATTTATCACTTATTTGTAATAATATTTCAAAATATGGACTGAACTGAAATTCTCTTTTTTTTTTTTTCTTCTTTTTATTAGTACTAGAATTATTATTATTATTTTTCTACTCATCCAAGCCTCCCATAATATGATAGGGAATAGTCTTACTGTTGCTTGTTTTGACAACTCGGTTAAATATAGATTTTTTAATTTTTTAAATTACATCATTTCTTTATTTTTGTACACGTTTTTTTAAAATAAAAAATAAAAAATAAAAAATTAACTTTTAACTTATTTTTCAAAACACAATATGTGAGGATGAGACATGCATGTAGCTTGCAAAAGATGTTAGATACATGCGTTGATTGTTCACCACGACGTTATAGCATGGATGGCATTGGTAGCTTCTAGGTGACCATAACATTTGATGATAATGTATGGAAAATTTTCTCTAGTCTTTTACAATTTTTTTTTTTTTCATTTTAAATCAAATCACTAATTATTGTAGCTCATATTTTTCTAAATGTCACTGACTCATCATCCTAGATGAATTTGTTTTTTATAAAATTCTATTATGTCATGTGTAAAGGAAACGAGCAATGGCAGGCATACACACACATATATATATATATATATATGCATACCTATGCCAATTGAAAGAGAACATCATTTGCATGTCATAGTCGAATCATCCAGAAAGAAGAAAAAACAACCACACACAAAAAAAAAAAAGAAAAAAAAAAGAAAAAAAAGAAGAGAGGATGAAATATACATTGGTGATGGAGAGTGGTCCCTGGATTTCAGAAGCCTAAGGAACTAGCTAGTGTGTGTGTGAGAGAGAGAGAGAGAGAGAAATTTAAAATAAAAAAAATTACAGGAGATAATTGGATGGAATCGAATGGTGCAAGATGAAACAGGACATGATGGGTGATGATGATAGAGATAACGTTTTATCTCTAAAACATGGTTCTGGTTGTAATGTGTGAATGTAAATGGATCATAACTTTTATCACTCTATCTCTATATCTCTCAAATCTACCAAGAATAAATTTATTTATTTATTTTTTTTAAAAAAATCTTGAGCATTTTTGTGTACCGTGTGCGTAGTTATCTTGTTGAATGCTATATTAACCCTAGGAATTAGAAAATATTTTGGTTCATTTCTTGCTTATATTGACCCTATAGGTCTAGTTTTTAAATTGTGTATATTGATTGGATTTTCTTAATTGTTGGTGTAAAGATGTTATTTCTGTACTATTAATAGCCTCTGTAAGTGGATTGGATTGGATGTAGTACCCACAAATTCTATTTAATCGATTTAAATTAACCATTTTGTATGGCAAGCTACAAATTCAAATTTCAAATTTGTAGAAAGACCAACCCTAAAATTCAAATTTCTATTCATCACTCGCTTGGCTTCAATGCTTCAGGATTACAATAATTTACAAAAATAGAATAATTAATCACAGGAAAAAAAAAAAAAATGATTGCATAGTCAAGTAGAATAAACTCTTTAGTAATGGGATTCACAGCCTTGCCCTGTTTGGTAAAAAAATTTTAAAATTAAAAGTTTATAATAAAAAAAAATATAAGTTAAAAAGCACTCATCCCTCCACTTCCAAACAATCATCATTTTTCAACTTATTTAAATTATTTCTATCTAATAAACTATAAGTAGAAGTTATACCAAATAATCTGACACATACTCTCAAATTAAAATAAGATATAATCAACTTATGAAAATTGCAACAAACAAATACTTTGAACCACACTTTAAACAATTATCAACGCCAGTAAAAGAATTAATATGAGAAATGGGTAAGGAATGACTTGGAATTGGTGGAGAGAGAGGATAGAGGCGATGATATGAAACACATTCACCAAGACTAAGAATATCTTCAACGTTTACGCTTTTTTCATTAAATTTAAGTGAAAGCTTGATCTGATGTCAAGCGTTCTAATAGAGAATTTTAAATTTTCATCAAATCACCGGTTAATCGAGAGGACAACTGGAAGAATATCTGACCGGTTGACTAACCAGTATAAATTGCAAAGACGTGGATGTCTGAAAGGACAACCGGCCTGTCGTTCGGTACTTCTACACTAACGACTATCTATAATAATTTGATGAAAAATTCCAGGCATCCATAATTTGATGAAAATTTAAGATATTCTCAATTTGATATCAAATTGATGAAAACGATAGAGTACCGTTTTCATCAGTTTTTCATCATATTTAAATTTGTTGAAAGATCTAATGAAGGATAGGAGACGCTCTAACAACCACAACATACAGAGAAACATAGAGAGAGAGAAAAAGAGAGAGTGTGTGAGAGAGGAGAGAGAGGACAGGGGAGATGGAAGCGCCGATCATTGGGAAAATGTTGGTTTTATATGTGGAAAAACAAACGAAAATGTTGACATCTTTTGCCAAGGTGTTGCCATCTTCCAAAACAATAACATATAATTCTAGTTATAAATTATAAAGTTTAACTAATATTCAGATTTAAAATTATTGTTTTGTGCATCATATTTCCAACTCCTCTCCCATCTAGTGGAATGGGCTATCCAATCTGGCTTATGGTTAATGACGGCCTCCTACTTTGATAATTTATTTTGTTTATTTTTTAAGTTCGAATATATAAATCATTCATGAAAAAAAAAAAAAATAATTTGTAGTCACATAATTATATCATCATTTTTTTTCAAAATATTAAATGGTCTATTTTTAAAATTATACTGATCATTTTTTTTTAAGAGTATCTAGCAAAATTGTTTTCAAAAAATTATTTTCTTCGAGCATCTCACAAGTGTGTAAATAAAATATATTTTGTAATTGGTTAAAACAATACAGTAGATTTTATTTAAAATTTAAAGAATATCATTTAAAATGAAGAATCTCTGGAAAATGTGTTATATTCATATATATATATATATATATAACTGTGAACAAAATCGGATATTGAAGTAATTTTGCATATTCAACAAGGCAGCAGCATGTCAACATCCTTTTCTCATCTTCACGACATACTACTCTCGTGTAAATTAAGTTTAAAAATATATATAATAAAACTTATAAATTTCACAAATATCAAAGTTTTATTATTTGCTGAAATAGCTTTGCATATAATCAATGAATATACAACGAATTAATGTTTTAGAAATAAAAATTAAAAAATAAAATATCTTTATTAAAAGTGTTATCGTGGTGATTTTAATGACAAAATTAAACTTGTAATTATGAATTACTATAGGACTAGAATTTTTATTTAAAAAAGTAAAAATAAAGGTATTTTTTAAAACTTTCGAGACAACTTTGAAATTATATTCCAAATATTTTTTGCAATAAAATTTTTGCTTCCGAGAACAACAAGGTAATGTTTGATTTAGTTTTGGAATTATGATTTGAGAATGAAATTGTATTTTGAGTTTGTGAGTTGTTGAATCATGATTTGAAAAAAGAAAATTTATTTGGTTATGAGTTTTGAAAAAAGTTTTGAATTAAATTTTAAATTTTTGAAATGAAAAAAATGATTTGGTTATGAGTTTTGAAAATTTTCAAAACTTAATTCAAAAACTTATAACTCATAACCAAACACATAAATCAAAACTTTATTAAACATTCTATTCAAAACCATAAGCAAACTATTTTTAAAATTTAATTCAAAAAAAAAATTATTGAAAAAAAAAATTTATTTAAAAAATTTAAAACTCTCCAAAAATATTTTTTTATTTAAAATATAAAAAATATATATTATTTTTTGTTAAAAAAAAAATTTTGAACTAGTACTTTGAAATTACCTTTGATTGTATATTTAGTTGATTTTTTTTAATTGTTTTGTTTAAAAACAATCTAAAAAAATAATTTCTATATTTAAAAATAATTTTAACCTCCATTGAATCTCTGGTTGCAATTACCAACCCCCAAAAAAAAAAAAAAACTATACAAAGTAACCGGCCTTAGAATATGTATTCATATGTGAAATTCAAAAATTCTACCAAACATGCATTGGAATGTGTATTCAAGTATGACCTTAGAATCAATTTTCAAAAACTTAAATCAAACATAACATTCAAATATAAGGGTGAAATTATGATTTCAAACTTAAACCAAACAGAGCCAAATTTTATTCCCTAAAATGGCTTATATATTGGTGCTGTTTGGTGTAACTGTTAAAACAGATTATAGATTATAGCTTAACAGATTATAAATTATGACTTTAATCAGAAGCCGTTAATCTGTTTGGCATAACTGTTGGATTATAGATTTAAGTTGCTGAGTAATGTTTGTTAAATAAACTGTGAAGTAGCTTTTTCAATTAATTTTTATTTTTTATTATTCACTATTTGTCTACATTTTTCATAAAAAATAATAATAATATTTTATAGTCCATTTGGGTTTTTTTCTATTTTTAAAAAAATAAAAAATAAAAAAATCTAAGAGTATAACTGTGAATTAACATGTCTACAGCAGAAGCTGATAATCAGAAGCAAGGGGTGAGCAGCTTCTCAGAATCAGCTTTTTTGACTTAAAATAAGTTGTTAGAATAAAAAACTGTTTGAAATAAGTTTAACCAAACAGTTCAAAATAACTTTTTAAAAGTCAGAAACCATAAGCTGGCTCAAAAATGCCCCACCAAACACCCCATTGTAGTGGTGCATGCAATGGGAAAGTCACATATAAAAATAAAAATAAAAATAAATAAAAAAAGGGGCAAAAGCACGAATATAAATCCAAAAATGAGAGCAGCCACTTATCTGCTGTGGTATGCTTTGGGGGAAAACAAAATTTAGTTAGATACTCCAAATTCACAAAACAATGGAGGTTAGTTCATTCCAGGATGAACAAGTCCAAATTACAATACACTATTACAAAGAGAAGATGAAAAAGAAATGCTAAATTCTTCTTTCCAATTTTAATTTCATGTCTGTCCCGAGACAATAAGGTCTACATTACAAGGGTGCAGAGAATGTAGATTGCTTCGATAAACAAAGCGCAATGAAAACTTGATGCATGAAGTTACCAGAGGCGATTCTCAACCACGGCATGAACGATGCCTTTCAATGTTTCCTGTATCAAAACCATGGCCATTAGGCATGTCCAGATGTTCTACTACTTACGATCAACAAAATACAGAGATTTTGAATTATACCACAGAATGGTCCTTGAGACCTAGAGAGAGCACTAATGGTCTGGAAGAGCCAGAGCTACTGCAACCACATCATGGCATGTTAAGAAAATAACGGACTGAATAATCAAATCTAAACGAATGCTCTACTTGAAGCATATATCCCAATAAAATTTGCATGCAAATACATGGTCTGTGAAAGACATATTTCTCACTGGCAATAGAAGGATATTATTTGGTATGAAGGCTCATAGGCATAAGCATGGTTGATAAAATCTTATGATTCACAATTCGATACAAGTTTCAACCAAAACAATTTCATTTGTGCTAATGAATCTTAAATAGAGTGGATTTTATAATTCAATTGTGATTCACTACAATTCATTACGATTCAATTTTGTTTGCATAATGCATGATACGACTGGTTTTCACAAAATAGATAAAGAGATCAATTACATCAACATGGTTTTATATATATATACAATTTAATTGTATTGATATTTCTTTCATTTCAAACAGTGTGTGTATTTTATATGTATACTATATATACATATATAAAATTATAGATTATGCTAAAGAAAGTGATTCTTACGTACGATTCACTATTCTAACAAAACGATTCACAATTTGACAACGATAGGCATAAGCATGAAGATTTCCATGAACAAAATAAGATGCAGTGATACATAAACGAATTGAAATCTGTGGGGAGAATACAGATGATGGCAGAACTATAAAGATAGGTGAGAATATACCTTATGTTTTCAATCAGCTGACGAGCACATGCCACTAGCATTGGCTGCATGTATATATTTAGTCAATCAAGCACGTGTGTGACTCAACGAAGATTAAAGTAACAGACTAATAATGCAAAGGCTAGCTTACCTCATCTCGTTTACCGCATATAACAGAGACATTGAAGGTTGGTTGAATTAACATCCCTTCCTCTTTCCTGGCAATCATTAAAGATGTAGATTAGAACTTCCACTAAAAAGAAGCTTCATTAAAGACAAGTACTAATTTCCTACACTCTAAAAGGATGAGACAAAGTAGCATGCTTTTGGCTACGGTTGCAACAATGTATCTAAAAGGAGATGTATTTTATGATTTTTAGTTTCAATTCTTCATTGAAAGAAAAAATCAATAAAAAAATTGCATGCCACCCTTATCAATCTTTGTAATTGTTGGTGACACAGACGAATTATTTTTGACTGTGGCAGTGTGTTTGCACAACAATAACTTTGTTTTGATAGAAACATGTGAGTTTCGCTTTTTAACCAACATGATTCACTAACACACAAAAATGATTTGGCCTTCTAGATGGTAACAGCCGTAACGGCCTGTTATGCACCGTTACGTAACGGTTCCAAACTGTTTCTTTCAAAAAAACACACAAAAAAAAGCTGAAAATGGGTGAAAAGGGATGGAGAGAAGAGGGAAGATAAAGAGAGAAAATGGAGGAGTAAGAGATAGAGAGAGAAAAGGGAAGATGAAGAACATGTTATTGATTTGTTGAAACTGTAAGACCTATGCTATTCTATTCAGCTACTATCACTAAACCATTTTGTTTGTGTGTGTCTATCTATGTATTGTTTGAAAATAATAATAATAATAAGTGTGGTCATTATCTATTTGGCTTGGTAAAAATATGTATATATATATTTAGACTCTTATTTATTCTCTTACTTTTGTTATTGTTTATCTTATATATAATAGTTAGTGATTGATTTTTTGTATAATATAAAGTCATTAATTATTAAAATAAAATGTAAAAAACTCAGTTTATAGTGATTTAAAAATATGAAAAATATTGAATCATATTTAAAAATTTACAAAAATTGATCAATATTTATTTTTAACCCAATAAATATGATCATGGAAAAAAAATATGCATATCGGTAAGTTTTTTTCAAATTGTGCGAAAAATAAAAAAATTCACGGTTCCGGTTACCGCAACCGTTACACTACGGCCTTTACACCCCGCAACCGCAACCGCGTCACCGCCACCGTTACGGCGACCGCAACCGCTTTTTAGAACCTTGATGCCACCCTTATCAATCTTTGTAATTGTTGGTGACACAGATGAATTATTTTTGACTGTGGCAGTGTGTTTGCACAACAATAACTTTGTTTTGATAGAAACATGTGAGTTTCGCTTTTTAACCAACATGATTCACTAACACACAAAAATGATTTGGCCTTCTAGATGGAAACAAAATATAGAATTGCCATGCAAGTGAACAGAATTTAGGCCTGGTTTGGGATACCCAAAAAAATCCAAAGAGTTAAAAAGTTACTAAAAAAGTTAAAAAGTTATTACTATTTACCAAAAAAAAAATATATAAAAAAATTAACTTTACACAAAATTATTACAAACAACTCTGATGTCCCATAGGCACAGAGTTGAGTTTTTTAGAAAAATTGTACATGCGGGGTGCACAAACAACACGGTGTTGTTCGGCCCGTGGGGGCCCACCACAGGTCCCGTTTTGATAATTTGAACCTTTGAATGTGTAGAACTCGTCGAGTACTATATGTCTGTAAAAAATCACGTTGGCCGGATATCGCTAATCACATGATCAAATCAGTTTTGCATATCAAAACGGGAGGGTCCCTACAGGCCGAACAATACCGTCCAATACAATGCCCGAAAAGTAGGCAACCATTTCTTATCATCAATTCACTCTGCCCAGACGGACAGCTGTACTACCTACTATCCTTATCTTCTCTTACACACTAATTTATACAATTTTTTAATACACATGTTTTCGTAAAAAGTCAAAAAGTTAACCCAAACAACCATTTTTTTTTTCCCTCAACTTTTTAGTCCAAAAATTCAAAAAGTGCACTTATTTAGGACACCCCAAACAACCCCTTAATTAAGCCTTTCTTCTTGGAAAAGGATCGTTTTCACAATAATATATAGCAATGATAGCAATTAATTTCACTATATACAGAAATACTAGTAAAATTGGAATACTTTCTTACCGAATAATATAATGTTCTTATATCAATATTCAGACTTCTGAAGCCATGAGAAAGATAAGACCACAATGCTCAACATATTCTTGGGGAAGCAAGAGCAATAAGGATGCAAGATTAATATCAAGATCACCATTCAATATAAGACCAAATAGCAGCAAAAACATAAGAATTTCAACTAGGGCATGCTGATTTTGAAATTTTTTCCCTTCCTTGCCAAGTCTACGATCTGGTTTAAAACTTTCTAAAACAAAAATATAATCCAATCAGATATGAAAAGAACATAGTTATTCCAAACAAAACAGCATGCAGACCTGGCATGCAGTATTGTCCCCATACTTCCTATTTGAGTTGCAATAACCTAAGAAAAAACTCAAAAATGTTAGATGTTCCCCCGTCCACAACAATACCACAGTCAAATAAATGGAAGTATAGAACTCACAAGAAAATGATCATCGTAGCTACAAATGACTAAATCCGTTTTATTTCCCTGCCAAAATAAAAGATAATAATAATAATAAATATAAAAAAAAAATTGTAAACAAACAACTGATAATCAAAGCTGTGTTGAGTTTCTTGACAAAACATGTAAAGAGTTCAGTTCAAATTAATCACACTAGGGCATTCACAGGTCGGTTTGGCTCGGGTATACCCTTGGCCCATCAACATCCAAACCGACACCATCGCTTTGGGAAAGCAGTCATCCATTATCGACCGACTCACTGTTCAAAATCAACCGACAAGTAGAAATGCATAAAATTGGAAAGTAACTAAAATAAAACCCAAATAAAAGGGTCTCAGAGAAATGCAACTAGCAGTAAATCAATTCAAGTTGTTGAAACTAAATTTTATCTGAACTAGGCATCCCAACAACATATATACTATAAATATAGGTCAAAAGTGGAAAATGAAACTCAACATCTCCATTATGGACAAAACAGAACAGGCATTAAATCAAACAGGTTGTGTGCAAAAGGGTATACGACTATCGAAACAGAGCGTGCTATTTTGTGAGCGTAATTCAGATGAAAATTAAGCAGTATATAAGAAAACAAAGCGCGTACGTCAGGAAATTGAATAGCAACAATAATGATAGACAGGGAATAAGAAAAGAAAATAGATTCACCTTGATATCAAGCGAGAGCTTCTGGTGGGTTACAGGAAATGGAAGACCAGAACTACCCATTACTATTATCTTCTATGGAGAGAGAGAGAGAGAGAGAGCCTTGCTTGCTGAAGAATTCAGAGATCTTCTGATGGCCAAGGTAATCGGGTTTTTTGGGTGATTGAAAAACCTAAACCCTTCCCTATTGAAAAACCATTGACTCCGGTCTAAAATCTGCGACAATATTGTTGACCTGATCTGATTCCGGTTTATGTCAAGGACACAAATAAGGGCTTTTACAATATCACCCATCACTTATTAAAGCAATAATGATTCATCCCACTAAAAACATCACCACTAATAGCACTAATGTATTAAAAAAGTAAAAAAAAATAAAAAAATACAACTCCAAGACCAAAACATCACATCATTAATGGCGGGACCCACTGCCACCTAATTAGTGGGAGCACTAATTAGTGCTCCCAAGCATTTTTCCTTATTAAAGTTTGTTTGGAATGTGCTATATAACTATATTTTTAAATATTTTTTAATTAAAAAAATAGAAAAAAATTTATATTTGGAATAATTTTTTAATTTTTTATGAAAATATGTATAATAAAATTAAAATGCTCATTCTACTTTTGTTGACTTTTTGACTTTTAATCTTTTGACTTTTGAATAGTTGAATTCAAAGGGCAAAATAATAATTTTTCTCTCTAGGTTTCCCCCAAATAGTATGAATTTTTTGACTTTTTTAGTAACTTTTTGACTTTTAACTTTTGTAGGTTATCCCAAATAATCCCTCATCAAATTTAAATGAGAAAAATTAATCTAAAGTCTCTCTGTCATTTTTAGTAATGGAAGAGATCTACAATATTATTTTTTGATATCTAAAGTCCCTCAATCCCACACACATTTATCACAGAGAAATTTGATGTATCTTACGCTCTCTATATCTCTCTCGCTATTTCTCTCTCTTTCTCTCTCTCTCTCTCTCTCTCTCTCTCTCTCTTTTTCTCTCGTCAATCTCAACGACGATCTCCTTCTCTAGATCTATCTATATTTCTCATCCTCTTCCCTCATCCTCGGCTTCTTACCGCCACTGACGTCCCCATCATTGCCTTAGATCGTCACTACCACTATCGCCTCAGATTACGATCACTGTCGCCATCTCCATCATTGTTTCTTCTTCTCTCTTCTTCAGTCACCACCAGCGTCCCTCATTGCCACTGCCATGACCGTCGCAGCTCCGCCTCTATCGCCAACAAAGAGGCAGGGGAATAGTACTGGGAACAACTATTCTAGTTGCCGAATCATCAGACGCATCTTGGCCAAAAAGAGTGCCGACCGGCACAAAATAGTGCTGACCGGCAACAAAAGGTGCCGGCCGGCAAACTACATTGCCGGTGGCAGCAAACACCAGCCGGTGGCCTCTAGCCACTGCCGGTGGTGGGTAGGGATGGTCTACAAGCCCTACCCTGCCTCTCAAAGGCAAGATGCAAGTGTTTGGTGCAAAACCAGACACTAAACGGTCAAGTTCGGAGGTCCTGAGGCAAGGCGCGCCAGCCGAGGCCTCCGGGAACTCCAAACGAACACAAACATGGATAATCACCGAGTGTTCAAACGGTGACGTCCAAGTCTTGAGGACGGTCAAAAATGGGGTGTCTACACACCAGACTCTGCAATTACCATCACCAAATCTCGCCTCATTATCCAGCCAGATGAACCTCTCTCAGCTACGCTTATGACAATTTCGGCTCTGCCCAAGATGGCTAGTCTTTGATTCCCATTTTCAAATTTTTCTTTTTTATTTTTTTTAATGATTTTTGTTGTTTGTTCGATTGCTTAATCAGTTAAATTTTTATTCATATTAATCTTAGTGAAACATTAGATACATACTAGAAATGTGTTTGGATTGAATTTCTCTGGTTTGGACCAGAGAAATTCTATGGTTTGAACTAAATTTTCTCTGGTTTCTCTGGTTTGGAATGAATTTTCTCTAGTTTGGATTGAATTTCTTTGGATTAGACCAGAGAAATTCTCTGGTTTGAACTAAATTTTCTCTGGTTTCTCTGGTTTGGATTGAATTTTCTCTAGTTTGGATTGAATTTCTTTGGTTTGGAACAGAGAAATTCTCTAGTTTTTCAAATGGAGCACAGTGAATTGCTTTGTATTTGTAAAGTCTAGTTTCAAAAATTGACAATTTTGTTGAAAGAAATTTTAATTTTCTCTAGTTTGATTTCAGAGTAATTCTCTTTGCACGTAATGAGACAAAAGAATTTCTCTGATTTGAAGAGAATTTATCTAGTTTGGAGATAATTTCTCTGTGAAGTGCAAAGAATTAGACCTGAGAAACTTTCTGTGAACCAGAATTTCTCTGTGAATTTTTCTGGTTTGTATCTGTGATTATTTGTTATGTTGATTGGATTGATTTCTTGATTGGCTATCAATTGTGTCTGAACCCTCTCAAGTGTTGGTTTTTTCTTGTTAGATTTGTTTAGGTGAGTGTTTATTGGATGATGGGTTTTGAGTAATAATATTACTGGATTTGGTTTCTTCAATTGGTAATAATAGCATCAATTTCTCTAGTTTAGAATTTCTTTGGGCAAAGAATTTTCTAATTCCCAAAATTTCTCTGGAGAATTTCTCTGGGAAATTCAGAGAATTATCTGGATCAAATTTTCTCTAGATCCATATTGAGGGAACTTAGACATTATAAAAATATTGTATGTCTTTTATGCTATAAAATTTTAATACCAAGGACCCTAAAAAAAATCAAAAAAATTGCTCATAAATCCCATTTTAGTAAATGTTACTCTAGTTAGTCCTGAGTATTTTTTAGTCCTTTTTATTTTTGGTATGATATATGTTTTTGATATATTATGTATGAAATTTACATTTTTGCCCATATTTGTAATGGTTGTTTCTCTCTCTCTCTCTCTCTATACAAACATCATTTATACAATCTGAGTCCATTTTGGAAATGCCTGAACTCCCAAAGACACTCTGTTCACACCCAACCCCATCAACTCCATTTTTACAACATCAAACGTCCCTGGATCCATTTCCATGGAACTCTCAACATCCAAACACAACCCAAATTTCAAATTCAATGTCTTAAGGACTAACAAAACGACTCTATTTTTGCTCATATTTGTAATGGTTGTTTCTCTCTCTCTCTCTCTCTCTCTCTCTCTATACAAACACCATTATACAATCTGAGTCCATTTTGGACCTCTGTTTTGGGGGTTTCTTTGAAAGCCAAGATCGGAAATGGGTTTGTGGTTTGCGCTTCCAAGGGCTCAGACAATCGGCCTCTTACGGGTGTAGTGTTCGAGCCGTTTGAAGAGGGAAATAAAGAACTCACACTCGTCCATACTCTCCCTCACTCTTCCATTGCTCGTCAGAAATACTCCGATGGATGCGAATCTGCTAGCGACATCACCAACATCAGGAACATCAGCAACATCATCAACATTTGGCCTTCATCAGCGACATCAATAACATCATCAACATCAATGACATCATCAACATTTAGCCTTCATCAGCGACATCAATAACATCATCAACATCAACAACTTCAGCGACATCATCAACATGATTAATGTTAGCAACATCATCAACGTCAGCAACTCTGGGGATGACTGAATCGTCGGCGTAATTTGCAGTGTTTGTGTACGACGGCGATGTTAATGGGGGTAACGGAGCAGATGTTTGTTCACCAACGTTACTGATGTTTTGTGTTTGTGTTTGTTCACCGACGTTACTGATGTTTGCTACTGATGTTTGCATATATACCCATCTAAACTCACACCATAATGTTACTGATGTTTGCTACTAATGGTTGCTACTGATGGAAACACATTAAAAGGGCTATAGTAAATTTTTGTGTATTTTGGTCACTACAACATCACTAAAATCTCACATTTACCCTTTACCAACAAAAGGTCATGTGTTAATTAAATGGGTAGATACGTAATTAACGTTCAAACATGACTTATTAGTCTACTAAATAATAGGTAGGACCAAATGGTTCAACACATTAACATTTAGGACTTATTGGTGTTTTACCCAAAAAAATCCCCCATTTAAATGTGATAAAAAAATTAATTAAAATAGCATTTAATCATTTTATCAAATTGATACCAAATAAAGGAAGAGTTAAATTTTTCATCAAATCAATAGAGTTTTTGACATTTCATCAAATTTTATAGGTGGGTCGTTGGGTCGGACGTCCTTCAAACAATTGGGCTATTTTGAAAATTACAATAAAAATCAGTTTTTTTTGATTTTTTTTTTAAAATGTGCAAAAAAAAATAGAGAGATAATGTGACCTAAAAAAACTAAAAAGCTAAAAAGTTTACTTTTAACCAATTTGTCAAAATTTTTATCTGAGGATGTCTGCCCGAACATCCTCCCAGACAACCAGGATAGTAACAAAATTTTGATAAAATTTTTAAATTTACATTGGATATATCAAAATTTATACTCAGATTTAGTGAAAATTTTGATGAAAGATTGGATCTTACACAATTCTAGCTTCTTTGAGAACTAATTATTTTAGTTGGTTTTTTAATTTTTTTATAAAATATGTACAAAAAGTACAGAGAATAAATGATTTTTTTGACTATTTTAAAGTATTCAAAAAAAAAAAAAAATAATTATTCTTTCTACTTTTTTACATATCTTTTGGTAACGAAATTTTAAAAAAAAAATTTAACAAAAATAACTAATTTCCAAAACAATTCACAATAATGATGTGAAAATTAAAACACTAATCATATCTTTGTAAAAAGTTTTATTTTAATTTTTAAAACTTTACTATTAATTATTTTAATAGTTTAAAATTTTGTTATTGTATAACGTCGATTTATAATATTTATTTTAATTTTTAAAACTTTACTATTAATTATTTTAATAGTTTAAAATTTTGTTATTGTATAACGTCGATTTATAATAATAACATCGATTTATAATAAAAATTAAAATAAATTTTAAATTCCTCATGAGATTTACTTAAAATATTAATTGTCCTTTATGTTCTGAAAATTACAAAAACCCTTTTGTTAGAATTTTTTTATTTAACATAATTAATAATTTTTTTTAACTATGATCCTATATAACAATAAAATTATTTGAATTATTAATTGAATTATATTT